CCGGAGATTCCCATGCTTTGTCGATCAAGTCCTCATTTCAATGCATCAACCCCCCAAAAAAAAATGGTGGTTCGAAATCCATGATAACATCCATGGATGACATCCATGATTGATATCCTAATACTTGATAGTCCCATGGATAACATTGTTTGATATTACCCTCTGGTAAATAAACATAGACCTTGAAAATCACCAATTGGTAATGGAAACTAATCTTCCAACCCCTATCTGGCAGGGTCTATGTTAATTTACTGGAGGGTATACATTATTACACACATATCATAGATATTCAGGATACCCTCTGGTAAACTAACATAACTATGGAAAATCACCATTTTCAATGGGAGAATCCACTATTTCAATGGCCATGTTCAATAGCTATTTTGACATAACCAGAGGGTATCCATGTTCGAGGAATACGATCATCAGCGGTCTGCAACTTCCGGGAGCCGAGGGGCCATTCCTCCAAGGTGGCCATTTTTCTTGCCGAGAAGCTCCCACCGGACCTGGCGCTCTCACTGGAACAAACATGGGGCGTTAACCATCAACAATAGGGATTTTCCATGGGATTGAATTGTGTTTCATGGATAGTGGATGCTAGTGGTATGCATATATATATATATTATATTATATATATATGTTTATTATATGGCTGAACTACCAGCTAATTCACTAACCTAAACATACCAGTAGCTGACACTTGCGGCCAGCCATGGAGATGATTCCCCGACTCCAATTCCTATCATTCCAATGACAGAAAACGGTCAGGTCATGACGGTCATGATCAAATTCATCCAGAACTATCCATTACTGTACATCCCCATGAATATCCCATTCATATGGCAGTGGGTCAAAACCTTGTACCCCTGGTGAACATCAAAATAGCTGGTAAATGGATGTTCATCCCTCTAAAAATGGTATTAATAGGTATTGATCCATACCCATATCCATTTAGTTCGATGCTTTTCCCGGCTATCAACCTCCATTTACAGAAGATGTGAATTCCTTTGATTTTGAATATACCCACAATTTCCCCACGAAATTTACCCACTATAGTGGATATTCCCCAATTTACCCTGCATTTTCCCACCATTGTCCATGTGATTCCATGTGAATGGCTGATGGGCTGGGAATTTCCCCACCATTGTCACATGGATATTCCCCATGTTCCCACCATTTCTGGGTGAGTTAAACATCCCCAGCCCATCAGCCTTGCCACGTTGGCCAGGGGCCGTAGCTCCACCAGGGGCCGGCCTATGGGGTTTGGGGTCCCGGGGTGGCTCAATCTTGAGATATGCGGGGTAGCAAGATCTTCATTGAGGGTAAAAAAAAATTGAGGCTAGTAGACTTAGTAACCCTCAATCTTTCACTCAGTTTACTGAAACCAATCTTTTTGAGGCTTACTATATATGAAATGTGTATAGATGTAACCTCATATAACGTCATATGGTATGTGGATATCTGATGTCATATATGTGGATGGTATAAAAGATTAGTATGTATATATATCTTGGGAATCGCCTTAACCCCAATTTGAGGTTCTGCAGTGCGCGCCCTGTATTGTTGATGTTTCAAGGGAAATCGTACCCTTCGGTAGGCAAACATGGCTAGCTGGGAAACCCCCGGTTTCTAAATGGAGGTTTGAATCGGAATATCAACTAGATAAATGGAGGATGTTCCTTTGCCATGTTTGATTACCGGAGGGTAAACAGTTTGACAATGCTCGCCAACAATCCCCTATAAGGGCCAGGTTGATCCCCGAGCATTGTCGGCGAGAATCCACAACCACTACACAAATTCGGTATGAGGCTGTGAGGTTTCATTACAACGTGTTTGTCACGGAAAAGAATCGGGCGGATTATGAAATCATATATCGTAACTATGAAATTTAACAGTAATATTATGATACATTTGATAATTACCCTCTGGTAAACTAACATAGCTATGGAAAATCATCATTTTTAATTGGAAAATCCACTATAAATGGTCATTTTCAATAGCTATGTTAGTTTACCAGAGGGTATACTAAAACAATACAGTAACTGTACAAAGGATAAGGTGGAAAAACGCACCTGTCTTTACACAGTAAACCGAGTCAACATGGCCCAGCACCAAGCCGGGGGCATGTTTTGCTTCACCGCGCCAAAGAAAGCATGGAAGCGGGGCAACATGGGTGTGTCGACTCGAAACGAATCGCGCTTCGAAGCTTCGAAGCCGAAATCATGTCAGAAACACCCAATTTCCTGTGCCGAAAATGCTGTAGCTCTTTGGAAAACCAAGCGTGGCCAGCTCAAAAACATGATACCAGCTTACATGGCTGTGTCTGAAACTGGGATATACCATATCCCCCAAGTGGCAATTTTAGTGTGGAATATGATCATGAATCAGTGGATTCAAGGTACACTATTGCCAGATCATATTCGGATTGAACATATTTACCCTCTGGTTATGACTAACATAGCCATGGTATAGATGGCCCATAGAAATAGATAGTTTACCTATTAAAAATGGTGATTTTCCATGGCTATGTTAGTCATAACCAGATGGTAATCATATTTCACAATTGCTGAGATACGCTGAGATTGACCTGGCGAGGTTGGTTTGCCAGAGCACCACACCAGCTAAAGAAGTCGGTCGCTTCAGCGAAAATTTCGTCATCGCAGCGCCTGCCGGAAAATGAAGGTCCAAAGTTGTCCAAAGTGTTAATGGGATGGGAATATAATTGGAATATAATTGGAATATAATGGGATTTAATGAGGATATGATGGGGATATGATATGATATGGGATACCCTCTGGTCATGACGAACAGTTGACGAAATGGAACATCATCACTTGGACTAAGGATTTCATAATCTTCATCTCCGATCATCCGCTCCGGGCCTGACACACCGATTTCGAAACTTTGGCTGGGCACTAATTATGGGTTACTACACCAAACCTTTGATGGGAATGCATGGAAATATCATGCGATGTAACATATATATAATATATACATATAACAAAATATCATTTGGGTGTGTCGGAATAGGGTATACGCTACACCACCAAAACGTTGCATTTTAATATTGGAAATTCAGACAAACCCATATGTGCAGAGATGCTGAAAGGTGGCACAGCATTTGGATCTCGAACGAAAGATTGATGAATTCACCCCATGGATGCGGATCTTTACAAAAAATATTTGGGATAGTATGGGATAGTTGACCTATGTTTACCTATGTATGTTTACCATTGGTCAATCATCATTTTCTCATTTTCTCTGGGGGAATTCAATTCGCCATCGACCCAAATTTGGACCACACGGCCTAAGCCGGTACCTCACAGATGACCTCAGAGCAATCAGGGTGTCACCAAACGGCCGCTGGGAAAATCCCCGTGGCCTAGCCATGGATACTTATATATATATACATACATAGCTGGGAAACTGGTGGGATTTTTAGGCCATATTACTGATTACCGAAGGGTCTGTCTTGAGCTTCATGCGTACTTTTCATTAATTTTTATATACCCTGGAACAAAAAGGGTAAAAAAATCTGCTGGACGTCATTCAGGGTCATCATCTGTTGCCCCCTCTTATGACTTGGTCAAAAAGTCAAGGTCCACCGGGAGCCCGTGCAGCACTGTTTCTGAAGCCAGTCTGAATGGACACGATGGTCCTCAAAGGTTGACGTATAGAGAAATCTCTTGAGGATGGATGCTGCATAGGTTCTATAGTTTTCTTGATACATGTGCATAAGTGCAGAGGAAATCGATACCGATATATCTATACATATATATATATATATATATACATATGCAATTTCATATATATATAATATCATATTATATCATAAAAAATGAAGTTTGAGTATTCCTCCATCAGAGTGGCTCATTTTTTACCCTATCAACAAACCATTCACCCCATTTCGGGTGCGGCGAGTGTCCCAGGCAACTCCACGGCCATGGGCGACTCGGGTGCATCGGGGCCCGTCAACTGGTTCGAACTGCGACCTGGCGGGGAGTGATTTTCCCATTGAAAATGGCCATTGATAGTGGATTTTCATACCATCAGCTACCATTTTACCCTGGGCCCCTGAGACCTGGGGGTCTGGGTACTCTGGACCTTATGTAGTTGAGGGGATGAATTTTCCCATTGAAAATGGTGGTTTTCCATATAGTTATGTTGACAAACCTGTCTGGTTGGTGGTTGAGCCCTACCCCTCTGTGCTAAAAATGGATAACAATGGCACAAAAATGGAACCTGAGACTGAAAATAATAGCATACGTTGAAGTCCCACACTGTTGGAATTCGGCTATATACACAATGCTATACATACCCATTTCAGGGTTTCAAAATTCAGCAAAAACACTCAGCAAATCGCGGAGAAAAGGATTGTTCAAAACACAAATCTGGCCCACTCTGTTTCAGCGGACAAAACTAAACCATGGCTTTGTCTCAAAACAGGATACCCCTGTAATAAATCCATTGGTTTATCATGACTTTCCCTATCTCTAAATGGTCAATTTTGGAGGGTAGGGCCCTACCAAATTCAGACACAGATCATCAGATCTGTGCCTCGCCCCATAATTATGGCGCCCGGCTCTGTGCATGTTGGTAGACCGCGCGTTTGTACAAGTCCTGTGGTGTCACCTGGGGCGTTGGTCAAGCACCAAGAAACATGAATCGTTGGATGTTGTTTGTGTCAATATTCATGGAAACACGGTATATCATGATGTCATATGAGCTGACAATCACATCCCATTACGTATCATCGGACATGTCTGTAGTCATTTCTGTCACACATCTAAACCATCACCATGTGGAACTGCATCACCGCAGCTCCGCAGCTGAAGTCGAGTTGTGATCATCCCAAGAACGGCGCTAATGACGTCGCGGCATAATGTAAGGCAAGCATAGCTTTCTAGGGGGAGAAAGAAAACACCATGATTTCAGTTGATTTGAATTGATTTCATGAAGAAAATGACCATCACCGGATTCTTTTCAATGAAAACCACACATCATGGCAGACATCTCTGGTCTTTCGTGGGCCAAGGCACGGTTTGGGGCATGTCGTTGTCTGCCAACTGTGCCAAAGCACTTGGAAGTTCAGGACGTTGGGTGATGACTCAGCGCCAAGTGGCCAAGCGGCCAGCTGAGTATACGGTATCCACGGAGGGGAAAAAGGTCCTTGGGGGTTCCTAAAATAGGAACATCTGGTTATTTAACATAGCCATGGAAATTTATGGATAATTTTCCAGATGCTACCTCCAAATGATTACCATCTGGTTATGACTAACAGTTCGCCATGGAAAGATCCACCATGCTATTAATAGGTAAACCATCTATTTCCATGGGCCATCTATACCATGGCTATGTTAGTCATAACCAGAGGGTATCCATCTGAATAGGATTTTCCATAACAATTCATTTTGGGGTACATTTTAGGAAACCTCCATCTGCTTGGAACCCATCACCTCATCAAACCAAGGGTTCACAACCCCAATTGGTCATGAGGAGATTCACATCTGTACAATACCCCATTTTTTCGGCCCCCAAAATGAATGGTCTTGCAATTACCCAATTCTCCTTCCCAAATTTCACCCAACCTGAAGTGTTGCCCATTCGTTTGAAATCTCGTTTGAAACCATTTGGCCCACAATCATCAAGCATCGCTGCCTGGGGGAAGCTCGCAACTGAGACCGCTCCCCAGGAAAATCCCAGGATTCAGTGGCCAAGCTGCCAATTGGTCTCGAGACCAAAGAGCGTTTTCCTTGGACGCGCAGCAGTGAGATATTGATGATACCCTCTGGTAAACTAACATAACTATGGAAAATCACCATTTTTAATGAGTAAATCCACTATAAATAGCAATTTTCAATAGCTATGTTAAATTACCAGAGGGTATGTGTTCTCAATGAGTGACCTATACAGCCTATACCAATGGCTGCAGCCTCCATCCCGAAACAAACAAAGGTGATGTCATTGACACACTTCACAGCTCGTTTTCAGCTGCTTCCGTCCAAGGCATCTGGTTGTCTGAGATTTCTATAGTGGGTTACAATATGTTACGATGATTTCATTGTAGAGCAAGACAGCAGAACCTATGACATCCATCATTCTGGTTCATGGTTGTTTTATCCTGTTTTGTCCCAAAGCTTGATTTCCGGGCAATCCCCCACACACTTAGCCAAAAAATCACATCTCTGACATTTCAGACGACTGACGACTGGTTTTCCTTCTCACCATCATGGTGGTCCCATCTCCACAATCCCCTGAAAACGAAGCCATGGAACCCCTGATCTTCCACCATATTATTCCACAGGATGGTGCCCAGTTATGTTTGTTGATTTTATAAACCCCATGAATACTATAGCCATATCTACCATAAACCATAGTTAAGCCATTTTAACTATAGTAGATATCTACCAATAGTTATAGATATATATATACATATACCAATATTCCAGGTGTCCATTTTTGGTTTCCCAAGGTCTCCTTCAGCCAAGGCGTCCATTGCCCACTTGTCCTTGAGGATTGCTTCCCCAGGCGAAGAGTCGGCCATCCTTCATCAAGGCCAAACAATGAGCCTGGCAGCGGATGCTCGGTCGAACCGAGCAGGAGATCATCGGGATATCATCCCAACAATGAAAAAGTTCGAACCCTCTGATAAACATTGATAAACTAGTAGTATTTTATGGAAAATCACCGTGTCTAATGGGTAAATCATCGAACTAAATGGGCATGGTTCATAGTTTTTTTAGTTTACCAGTGGGTATTCTAAGATATTCTAAGCAGTTCTACACCACTGATATACACTGAACATTTCAAGTTTTGCAATTAATGTTTAGAATATCAGCTAAAAATTTAAAAAAAAAACATAAAGTTACTTGCTAAACACTGGACAGTAAATGTACACTTTCTATATTTCACTGATTTTCACTGAGTATTTCTATAAAGTTACTGGGCAAATCCTTTTTGCCGCGGCAGTGATATCCCCGGTGCACCTGGCCACAGCGCAACTGATCCACACGGCTGTGCTTTGGCAAACGCACCTGTGACCAGACCTGGAGCGGAAAATCCACGTCGTGTTCCAGCGAGTTGTTGGGAAAATGGATGGGATTCGTTGTCAAAATATAGGTTTTAAGGGCTTTTCAGGGGGTTAAAAACCAGAAAATATGGAAGTTCATGGTTTTAACATGTTTTAACAATACTTGTGGTTTCACCCGAAAACCGGCTACAGCCCTGTCAGACTTACTTTCCCCAAGGTCACGTGAAGCCTGGAAGTTACAAAATACTGACAGGCCCACCGCACAAGTGGCCGAAGAATTGATTGTGAACAGGTGTTCTACTTTAGAAAGAGAAAACTTTAGTATATACAGTACTTGGTGGCTCATCCCACTTAGTAAGTGGGTTATAACCCCAGTTATAAATGGGATAAGTAGGGTTAATCCACTTATAACTGGGGTTATAACCCACTTACTAAGTGGGATGAGCCACCAAGTACTGTATCATGTCTCGAGCCATATTTCGAGCATTTTCGGAGGACGTTCAAATGCTTGAAATTCTTTGCGGAGCATCGTCGTTTGATGTTCGGAATTTGACGGACAAACAAACGGTGCTTTCACAAACCAAAATGTTTTTTTAACCAATTCAAATGTGGGTTGAGCCAATCAAAAGGGCGTATATAATATAAATTAATGATAATTAATGTATGTGCGAGAAGCAAAATCAGGAATTTCACCTTTCGCAAAACAACTGGTTGGTGGCTTCAACCCTTCTGAATGGAGATGGAAAAGACACATGAAACGACTATATAACGAAATTTGATGGATCGAAATTGAGGACCCCAAAGAATGGGATGGTTCAGTGCCAAAAAGAACACCCAAATGATTCATAGGGTTTACATGTGTTCACTTCCAATTTCCAAAGCCTCTTCTTACACTGTTACATCCCCACCAAAGGCAATGTTCATCTGTTCATCAACAATTCCCCAAGGTTGTTCGATTCACCTGCCTATTTTAGCGGCTAAAACCTCTACCACCTCTACCCCGTATGGATATTATGGATGGCCAGTGGCCCATGCAATGTACAGATACCTATCATTCACATATTCATACATTTCTAGGGGATGAGCATTTATAACTCGTGTCACATCCCAGTGCCAATCTTAGATACCCGGCAAAAATGACAAATTCTTCAGCTGGTAGATAATCCCATTGAGACCAAAATACAAAAGGATTAGTTTCTACCCATCTAAGATTGACCTAGATCCCAGCTATTCATTTATAAATACATATATATATATACCTATCATTCACATGGCTATGTACAGATTCAGATACCTATGATTACCTGAGACTATCTTATGGGGATGAACATTAATAAATCCTGTCACATTCCAGCTGTAGCAAAGCTAAAAATGTTTTCACCCTGCCCGGTGCCTGCTGTTGTTGGTGCATGCTGCGTCCGCACTGCCCGGAGCCGTTCTCACCACAGGCAAAGGCCACGTTGGTGGTGTGCGACCTTGTTGTGACCGGTGTTGTTAAAAACCTTCCAGTAAATATTATAGCAACCCAGAAAACATGGAAAATTGAATTAAAATATAGTAAAATCATGAAGCAAATTGTAAATTCCTACTAAATTCCTGGAGTTCATGTTTAATAATCCCCATTCATTGCAATTACAAAAGGGAAAATGATCATTAACCAATGGATTTTATGATAATTATTTAAGGTACTCCCCATAGTGGACTGATGCCAAAAATGACAAAATTTGTCTGTCCATTGGTTCCCGATCTTTGGGCAGTAACATAGCCATGTGGTAAACCTCAACAATAAACATCAATAAACAATTACGAAGCTGGCTTATATTACCCATTTAAGATACGTTCACAAAAAACGTAGTTCTGCTCCGTAAAGCCGACGGTTAAGCAAGTTGTCCAGTGGAGAAATCCTCAGGCCCTGTTAGGTTCTCAGACGCGGCATACCAATCAGGACTATCTCTGAAAATTGCCACCGTGAAATCCTCCGGCCATCGGTCCCCATCGGTCCGCATCGGTCCCCATCGGTCCCATGTGGATGCGAAATAGTGGATATCCACAATGAAGTCTAAAAACAAAGAACAACTTCGGTGATAAAGTCAGATAAAGTCCCCAAAATGATCTTGTCATGCCTAAAAACTATACATAAAACTACCACATACTACAACCATTCTGCATGTTTGGCCACTGCGCACAACATGTGAAACTGGATTTTGTGCCTTGCCCGAGGTTAGTGCGAATGGTTCCTCTATGAATGGAATCCCTACAGTGGTTCCTGTACTCCCCCTGAACTCCCTTTGAACCAATGCGTGTCCAATCATTCCAAATAGTGGTTTTTGCTGCATCAATATTGGATAATACTGGGATGTTTCAACAGTATCGGCCCAAAATCGATGGCGTACAAGACAACATCAAGTTTCCGCGCAACTCACGATCGACACATCAGTGACTGACTGTATGTTTGGAACGCCGCGGATATATTGACTGCCAACTCCGAACCAAAACCAGTTTGTAGAACCCCACCCCCATCATCAACCATCCTGTCCGAGTTCTGTCCCCATTCACCTAATGTCTAGTTGGTTCATCTCGTCATTTCTTTGGTTAAAGGCATGTCAATCCCGCATGTCCATGGTTGAATGGATATGTTTGTTTGTTTAAAAGCCAAATGTTTGATCCCAATTTAGGTGATTCAACACACCATTGGTGAATCCACCTATTTTTCGCTCATATTTATATCCCAGTTTCTCGCTGCAACCCTCAATTTTTGTTAGTTGAATCCCTATCTGGAAACCCCCAGCACCAGTTCCAGCTCCTCCCCGCAAGAGAAGAATGAGGCGGGGGGGGACTCGGGGCGATTTATCGCAAGAGGAGCCACCTGCGCTTGCGAAATACGGAAAATTTAGGAACATGTAGTTCAGTGGAGATACATATCATGTGTATAATATATATATATATATATTTAATATATTACGATATATATATATATATATAATTCTGTCTATATATAATTATATATATATATTATAGTTAGATATATAATTATATATATTATAGTTATATATATATTATATAGTTATATATATATATAATTATATATATATTATAGTTATATATATAATTATAACTATATATATATGCATGATTATGCATGAATTATGCATGATTATGCATGTATTGCTTTTGTGGTTGTCATTTCAACTACATGCATGGAACCAGTGATGTCTATGTAACTTTAAGATACTTTAAGCATCAAACGTGTCAGGTATTTATCTGACGTGGTTTGTCGATCAAGCATGATGGTTTAACCAACACAAATGGTGAATTCACCAACAACATGACAACATATGTTTTAACAACCAAACAACACGGGTGTCAAAACGTTACAACCGTGAAAAATCGTATTGCAGCCAAGCGAAATTGGCAAAGGCATACCATACCAAGAGTCAAAACTTCTGCCTTAGGACCGGCAACCTTTGGATCAGGTAGAATGTAGCAAGGCCCCCTTTCATTGCTGATGGTTTTTGCAACCTGGATAGAACAGAAGCAATAGCCACCTGAAGTATACGAGTATATTAGTATATGTAGATAGAATGGAAGGTCGGACCATGTACACCCAGGCATGTACTATATTTTGGAAAAGGGTGCAGAATAGTTTCTTTTTGGCTCAGGTTTTCGAATTGTTGTTGGCTTTCTTTCCTGGTACCATCTGCCTTGTATTTGCAACAGTTTGACTAGAACCTGTCATTTTGCATGGTATTTGCTACATTTTGGCATGGTCACGTTGCATTTTGCATGGTATTTGCTACAGTTGGCCATGTTCGCCTTCCATTTTACATGGTATTTGCCACGTTTTGGCACTTCAACCTCTCATTTGCACGGTATTTGCTACATTTTGGTACTTCAAACGTTCATGTGGGTTTCTTTACAGTTTTTTTAGGATTTCATTTAGGGCTTCATTTAGGGTTTCTTTAGGATTTCATTTAGGGTTTCTTTAGGGTTTCTTTAGGGTTTCATTTAGGGTGTCATGTTTCTTTAGGGTTTCTTTAGAGTTTCGTTTAGGGTTTCTTTAGGGTTTCATTTAGGGTTTCATTTAAGGCTTCTTTAGATTTGTAGGGTTTCTTTGGAGTTCCATTTAGGGTTTCTTGAGGGTTTCATGTAGGGTTTCTTATCAGGATTTTCAAACGTTCATGTGGGTTTCTTTAGGGTTTCATTTAGGGTTCCATTTGCAGGAAAGTTTCAGTTTGGGGTTTCATTTAGGGTTTCATTTCAGGTGTCATTTTGGGTTTCTTTGAGTTTAGGGTTTCTTTAGGTTTAGGGAATCTTTAGAGTTTCGTTTAGGGTTTCTTTAGGGTTTCATGTAGGGTTTCTTATCAGGATTTCTTATCAGGATTTCCAAACGTTCATGTGGGTTTCTTTAGGGCTTCTTTAGGGTTTCATTTAGGGTTTCATTTAGGGGTTCTTTAGGGTTTCATTTAGGGTTTCTTTAGGGTTTCATTTAGGGTTTCATTTAGGGTTTCATTTAGGGTTTCATTCAGGTTTCTTTAGGGTTTCATTTAGGGTTTCATTCAGGGTTTCTTGAGGGTTTCTGTAGGGTTTCATGTAGTTTTCATTTAAGGTTTTTAGGGTGTTTTAGGGTTTCATTTAGAGGTTCATTTAGGGTTTCATTTCAGGTTTCATTTAGGGTTTCTTTAGGTTTAGGGGTTCTTTAGAGTTTAGTTTAGGGTTTATTTAGGTTTAGGGGTTCTTTAGAGTTTAGTTTAGGGTTTATTTAGGGTTTCATGTAGGGTTTCTTATCAGGATTTCTTATCATGATTTTCAAACCTTCATGTGGTTTTCTTTAGGGCTCTTTAGGGTTTCATTTAGAGGGTGTCATTTCAGGTTTCATTTAGGGTTTCTTTAGGTTTTGGGTTTCTTTGGAGTTTCGTTTAGGGTTTTTTGGGTTTCATTTAGGGTTTTTAGAGTGTCGTTTAGGGTTTCTTTAGGATGCCATTTAGGGTTTCATTCAAAGTTTCTTTAGGGTTTCATTTATGGTTTCTTTGGGGGTTAAGTAATGGTTTCTTTAGGGTTTCATGTAGAGTTTCTTATCAGGAGTTCTTATCAGGATTTCTTTAAGGTTTCTTTGGGTTTCACCTAGGGTGTTTACAAACAGGAGAGAATAAAGCAAAAGAAAAGAAAAAACAAAGAGGCAGTAAAGACAGGAAGCAGAGAAGCAGAGGAGCAGGAAATAGAGCAGCAAAAACACATGACTGAAGAAAAGAAAAAGTAGAATAGTAGAAGTAGAAAGGCACAGAAGCAGAGAAGCAGGGAAAGCAGAGAAGCAGAAAAGAAAAGAAGCAGGTAAAGCACAAAAGCAGAGAAGCAGGGAAAACAAAAAAGCAAAAAAAGCAGAGAAGCAGGGAAAGCAAAAAAGCAGAAAAGAAAAGAAGCAGGTAAAGCAGAGAAGCAGAGAAGCAGGGAAAGCAAAAAAGCAGAAAAGAAAAGAAGCAGGTAAAGCAGACAAGCAGAGAAGCAGGAAAAGCCGAAAGCAGAAAAGCAGAAAAGCAGAGAAGCAGGAAAGCATAGAACCAGGAACCCAAAAATAATTCCAATTCCTGCCACAAAAAAAAAAAATAGCCATCCTTTTGGAATAATCCGAAGACCCGAACCAGGCTATCTATCTACTCCTCGATGATCGTTCGAGGTGTTGTTTTGGCTGCCCAGGCCTGAAACATACCAAGAGCATCCAATAGCATCTAAGAATCTAATAGCTCAGTACTGCATTGGGCATCCTATTTGGCCATGGTCCTGGTCCCAGATTTGGGGATTGATCCAAGATTATAACACCACCCAGCAACCAGAGCCTTTCCTGTGGGCTTTGAACTCTGGCTTTTCGTTGGTTCGTAGGAATTCCCACAGTGGCGTGTAAAAATGATCATTGAGTATATAAATGTATAAAACGTTATAAAATATAATTACTGTTAACTTTGTAGCGTGGCCCCATTTCTGCAACCATCAACCAACAGGCATTGTAGGCAAAAAAGAACTGGAGTTCTGATAGCCTATCATCTATTAGATCCGTGCAGAGTGTGTTTAAAAATGCCCTTCCTCGCGCACCTGTTGCACAGGTTTCGTCTGCATGTGAGGATCATAGTAGCCTGGGTTTCAAGGGTTTCAAGCTGCAATGGCATGTTTGAAAAGGATTGAGGTTACGAGGTTCTGTCTGAACTTTGGGATGCCTCGAAACGAAGTTTTTGAGCTTCGAGGTTCCACAGATCACCGGCCCCCCACATTCTGGGGCCAAAAAGCGATAGCTCACCGCACGTTGGATGTCGCCCTTGACATTCTTTGGGCCATCCTTTCGCGCAGTCATCACAGGTGGCAAGCTGGGAAATATCCCCCAACTACATAGGTGATTTTCGATTGCCATGTGGCAGTGTGTCAAAACCTTGTACCCCTGGTGAACATCAAAATAGCTGGTAAATGGATGTTAATTCCCCTAAAAATGGTATTAATAGGTATTGATCCATACCCATGTTTGATTTCCAGAGGGTAATATGGATGTATGTTGGCAATGGATGTGAGTCACCTATTCTGAAACTATCCATAAGTGGGGGGGTTCCGGTAGCTGCATGTCAATATTTGAGACAATTTTTTGAAGCATATGATAGATCGTGTAGAATCTGGAATCAAAACAGGTGAATATGACTGCAAACTAGACGATCTCAGAGTTCAGGTTTCTTGACCCATGTCTAGCAAGGCTAGCATGTGTGTGTGTTCTAGCCTACGAATCCCATGAATTCAGGTGACTTTCATAGCATGGTGCTGCTATTTCCGGGTCCTGATTCAAAACACCATAGGCATGGCGTTCATCTTGACCACCCTTGGTGCGCAGCATGGAACCCCATGCAGCCTCACGGCGGCACTCCTCTTGGGTTTTAGTGGTTCTTGAATGGATTTACCACTCTCCAAGCATCACAAATAGACAAAAAAATACAAAACATACATCTACAGTTGGAAGTATTAGGTTCTACAAATATGATTTAGATTTGACATCACATGTTCTTCACATCTGAACGATCTCGCATCCTTAAACTTACTAAGCTCCCCACAGTGCGCGTGTCTCCCAATGCCAGTTGGATGCGACGGTCGTCTCCGAAGGAATAGCTGCGTCCTCGCTGGATCCAAAGCCAGAATCAATATGTGGAAATGATCGGGAGCCCCTAACCCTGGTCAGTACCCAACTAGAATAATGTGGTTAAAACAATGTCATAAACCATCCCCCAGTCATCACCATAAATATATAGGTGGTATTGGTATGGTTACCATCCCAAATGGGTGGTTTATGACATTGTTTTACCCACCTGATTCTATTTATAAATGGATGAACCAGCCCAAGTTACTAACCACTTACGATCTTTGGGATGATCCTCCAGGTAGAAGCACAAGGCACAAGGTGGGGTCGACGTGTAACTTGGTTAACTTAACTATTAGGTTTTGTGATAATATAACTGTATATTATTAGAGATCACATGGGTCATTAAATGTCCCCATTGAACATCACCCAACCATTAGGTATATGGTCTATAATGGCTACTATAAGGTGATGTCCAATATTCCCAAAATGGGACAGTTACCAACCCCTGATTATTAGAGATTATAAACCAACAATCATAACTTGGGGGGGCCACCTTGCACTACTGTCAAGTGTCCAAACCCCAGCTAGATGATTCTGACACACTGCAACAACTTTTAATTGCATGTTCTAGCATTTTTACTAAGTCCATGTATATACGACTTATATCGTTATGTATTTTCATGTATCTGCTGTGTCGTTCTACCCTAACCGCAATGTTCTTCTCGTCCTTTGGCATCTTGCGCAAAGGTATGGCGGCCGCCCACCTGGTCTTCGGATTAGATTCTACTCACAATCAATGGAGTTTTCCACCAATTTAATGTGTATAAAGATGTATGCATATTCTAAGTACTGTGAACATATATAATTATATATATACATCATATTACACATATGAGCCATGGTCAATACTCACTATATGGTTGATGGTCATCCCATCCATAATACGGATCCTTATTCCATGGTTATTATAAATCCCTATGAACCATTGGATGACTAGCCCCTATTAATGGTTATTAACCATGAGTATTGACCATAGCTCATATGTAGTGTATGTTTTTAGTTTCGCAAACATGCATCCTGACAAGTTGCAGAAACATGATGTGATTCATGGTTGTTTCCCAGGAGCTTGGAGGGTGAAAGAGTGATTCATCAGTTGACATGGTAGTGAAATGCGTTAGACTTATATATAGGAGCATTATAGAAGGAAACCTGAAATTGGTACGAACCCGCCAATTTAGAAGGTTTTGTAGTGAACAGGGCAAAAAATGCACCAAATTCTTGACTCACTGGCAAATGGTCTTCAGTGTTGACACGCAGAGTTGGAGACACAGCGGAGAGGATTTTTTCGGGTCACCCAGCCATGGGCAACACATCACTTTTAAAAAAACGGTGGATTTCAGTCGTTTTGAGAGAAAATCTACTGGTTTCAGGAATTCTGGGAGGTCACCTCTCTGGCAACGCATGATATGGCCATGAGGCAAAACCCTGGCACCCTAGGTACCCTAAAGTAGCTGGTTAATGGATGATTATTCCTCCAAATATGACAATATAGGTGTTGAATGTTTTTGACATGTTTTGAATCATCCCCATTATAGGGTCCCTCACGTTTCAGGACATGTCGCAAACGCGGCCTCCACCCTTTTGATGGGCGCAGCCGTGCGCGGAAACTCCACTCGCACAGGGGGATCTACCTGGCCCGACACCACTGCAAGGTTGTTGTTAATGCATTTTAACCACGAAACATGACCTTGGTTTGATTCTAGGACGTGGGTTTAACTACCAAATCAGTAAGTAAATAAAGAAATCAGCAAATAAATGTATAACATAGATTTTACGTGTATATGTATACCATATATATATATAATTAAATATATATATATATGTATTATTATTATTGTCATTATTACTATTTATTATTAGTAGTAGTAATTTATTGTTGTCATCGTTATTTGTGCTATTATTATACTATATATATATATATGTCAAATATATGTATATATATATATGTATATATATATATATGATGTTGGTTTGAGATGTGGGTGGATTGACTGATCACTCCAAGCAGCACAAAGATGTATCTTGTAGGAACCAGTGGTGTTTAAGCATTGTGGGATATATCAGGGTGTTCTCTCAGTCTCTGCCTTGCTTCCTGACCTCTTCTGAGAAGGATTTGACAAAGAGGGAAGATTCAAAGCAACAAAACTGGGAGATGTGAGTGATAGAAATTGGAACAGAGGTGCTCCCAGACCCCTAGTCACGTAGTGGGTTTTCCAAGATTTGGTTTTGGAACACATGGTTCATATAGAGATACCGTTGTAATCTATAATATTAATATTCATATTAGTATTAATATAAATATATATTAATATTAATATTAATATTAATATTAATATATATATATATGGTCAGAGACATCTATGCAGCATGAATAATGTACATATATATATATATGGATATTGAGTACAAAGGAAAATCATCAACTGTCGCCGTCAGAATTTGAGACGTGAGTGCATGTGAATGATTTTTTTTGATGGCCACATGAGATGTCTGCTTCCGCGTCTTTTTCTGCTTTCACTCATGGTTTCGTACATGTGTTCCATGTTTATACTTGGACCATCTTGGACCGCCATGTCTTAAGGGCGGCGTACTTAAGGCGGTTAGACCCTCCCCCTCATGAGTATCCAGTCCGAGAGCTTTGTTTCTGATTGATTTTTTCTAAGAGAAAGAACAGTTTCGGACTCCATTTGGATGTGGGAGGGGCTCAAGGCACCTTAAGTACGCCGTACTTAGTGACATGTCATTTTTCCGTGGGAGGGGCTCAAAGCACCTTAAGTACACCGTACTTAGTGACATGTCATTTTTCTGTGGGAGGGGCTCAAGGCACCTTAAGTACGCCGTACTTAGTGACATGTCATTTTTCCGTGGGAGGGGCTCAAAGCACCTTAAGTACGCCGTACTTAGTGACATGTCATTTTTCTGTGGGAGGGGCTCAAGGCACCTTAAGTACGCCGTACTTAGTGACATGTCATTTTTCTGTGGGAGGGGCTCAAAGCACCATGTTTTTTCTGTGGGAGGGGCTCAAGGCACCTTAAGTACGCCGTACTTAGTGACATGTCATTTTTCTGTGGGAGGGGCTCAAGGCACCTTAAGTACGCCGTACTTAGTGACATGTCATTTTTCTGTGGGCAGGACTCAAGGCATCTTAAGTACGCCTCTACTTAAGTACGCCTCTACTTGACTTCATATCTAATTTCCAGAAACCCCCTATGTGATCATCATATTGGCTATGAAGCTTGGAGCAGCCCCGTGGAACGTAACAATAATTTTCTTTGCAAAGATCAATGTGTACCTCTTCTGTCTCATCATCATTGGACCTTTTCGACTTCTCCGGAGTTCCTAGGTGTCACAATACATGGCACCTCCACTCGCCGGCGCTCCTCTAAGGCACCCATGGGGCCTCTTTGCCTCGGGTGGGAAACCTCCACAGCCTCCACACTTCAATGGGAAAATGGTGGGTTTATCACCGGATTTTGGGACCCCAGTTGATTGGGTTGGTTGAAGGGAGAGGTTCTTTAAGAAATCTACAGATCTTTTTAGTACAAAATCATATACTTCAATGTGTGTTCTGTGGCCAATTCTTGGACTACGGTTCAGATGGAAATTGGGAATTGCCAGACTCGTCCTTGATTCGGTAAAAAAAGGGTTGCATAGACTGTATAGATTTGTGGGGAAGCCTATGGCCTATGACATACCTATGCGGTTCTCAAATGCTTTCGGAGAAATGCTCTTCTGCAAAAAAGTTTGAAGGTCGTGCGGAACGTCCCAGTCAAAGGATGCAGAAACATGAGTGTCCACCAAATGTTTGTTACCCGGATTGTAATTTTGGTATGCAAACCATACTTTTTCATGCTTTTTCTGCATCTGTGCCTCATAGGTCACGGAGCCACAATGAGTCCTGTGTTCTACCCATCCAAGTTAGGATGCGCTAGGCGGCCTCAAGAAATGCCTGGAATGAAAATACCCATCAATGTTGAGGCTCATCGTTTTGTGAGGAGCGGACAGTTCATCAAAAAACGTTGAAAGCGACAAACGATTTTTGGATGTGCCGAATCATGCCGAATCCCAATCATCCCTATGTTTTTTGCTCAGAATGCTTATGTTGTTGCTCGTGTTTCTGTTTTTGCTGGTAAAGTCCCTTCTTCTTACTGGTGCTTAGTAGGGAATGGATGGGAATGGGGAATGGGATGATTATTACTAGTGATTATGGATCATTCCCTCATTCCCTGCTAAGCACCAGTAAGTCTTGGTAAACTCCCGGTTGTTTCTTTGTGACATACCACAACCCAGAACCACCCAGCACTTGAAGACTTGTTGACATGATGCTCCAATGGCATTTCAGGGGCACCCAATCATGGGCCAGATTTTTGCTATGATTACTTTCCGTACTACTACCATTAGTCGTTACACCTTGTTTGGCTTGACAAAAGTTTTATGGCTTTAGGTGACCCTCAGGTAATCAAACATGCCGGAAAATCCCCCCATTTAGTTCCATGATTTTCCCTACCATTTTCCATCCAAATCTCCATTTTGATGAGGATTTCTCGGGAATTTCTGACAAAATTTCCAGTCAAATCCCTCAAAAAAAACCCGGGGTCCCCTGCTTCGGCGGGGCCATGCCACATTGGCCGTACTCATTGCCGCCCACCTCAAGCAGCCATGGTTCCGATGGTCAAATCACTAGGATTGTGTTGAGAAAAGGATAGGATTCATCCATTAATAAGCCAAGAAGAATAGGTTCCTACAAATGGAAGATCATCCAATTTTGTTTTTCCAATTATATGATAGGAAAATCATCCAAAATTTAGGAAGATCTCCTCTAAAATAATAACATTTAAATTTTGCTGCAATGTTTTGCGAATGGATGGAGACTGAAAAGTTGTCAGGCATCTCTTAGATTCCGCATAGAAGGGGTTCATCAATGTTCAGTTCATTGTAATTCTGAAAAAGAATGTGTGTCTGTTTGTTACAAATCTACGCTGTGAGATTGGGAATCGCAATGTGCATGTTCTGAAAAGGTGGCATTCGGTGGTCAAAAATCACCAAAAGCGTGACGTAGGAGGGTTCCCTGTCTCTCTTCAATTCAGAATTCATTGGTTGGGTCTGGGATTTACAAAGTCGTCAGAAACAGCCAGTTGCTCCTACTTTACCTGTTGCTAGATCTGGGACATAACGATTTGGAATTCAGCAAAGAAAAACATGAGGATCTACTCATTGGCTCAACAATGCCCCATCCCCATAAGGGTTTAATCATGAGGTTTGAAGACCTCATCTTTCCCATAGAAATCATGACCATGGATGATGAAAAATCTACCCTCCAGGAAACATCACTATGGAAAATCAAAATCTTTGGTAAATCATCGAACTAGTAACTAAATGGTTATTTTTCCATAGCTACCCTCTGGTAATTTAACATAGCTATTGAAAATGGCCATAGAAATAGTGAGATTTCCCATAGAAAATTGTGATTTTCCATCGCTATGTCAGTTTACCGGTCATGGACGGCCCCACCGATCTGGGCGGCCAAAAGGCGCAGTACAACTGCCCCTGGTGCGTCACAAAGCAGCCGTGCTCCATGCCGATGCTCATCCTCGGCCGCAGATGTGGTTTTTTGTTGAGTTTACCCTCTGGTAAACTAACATAACTATGGAAAATCACCAATCGGGAGGAGATAAAAAGTAATGGGGATATAGATTACCCTCTGGTAAAACATACAAAAACGATGGAAAGTCACCATTTTTAACAGGTAAATCAACTATTTCTATGGCAAGTTTCAATAACTATGTTAAATTACCAGAAGGTAAAATGTGAAATCACGTTTTTGGAGAAACTGATGGGGTTTGAGTAGGAATCTCACATTCCTTAAAATACTGGCTAGTAAATAGTCCTATTCTGGGTCGTGATAATACGTAATGATATAATGCCCATTGAATAGGCGAATAACCCCCAATTCCTAGCCAGTCAATAGGTGCAATGCCAGCTAACAACCATCATACCCAGTATGGCTGTTATAGTCATGAGATGTCATGAGTTATGTTTTACCCATCTTTTCTCATAATAATCCCCATGATACCCCAGAATCTGAACCTCAAGCGGCTAGAAACTGGCACTTCCATCGCTGCCCAAGCACGATTGCACACAGCCTCGGTAGCCTTGCAGCCAACCAAACCAACCTGGTGGCGTCGATAGCTACAAGCTGGTCCCCCAGTTCGTTAGCTAATGGCTAATTTGCTTGGTAACTCCAATAACTTGGGTTTATTGATAGCTATACAAATCGTCATGTTGACCATCTAAAATTGGGCCAAATTCCATAGCTATGTTGGGCTATGTTCAATAACCAGAGGGTAACTAGACTTATAATGTAGTTAATTCTTAGGTTTGTGGGGGATAGAATCAACTAGTGGGGTTTCTAGACCAAGAAACATCACTGTGGGGGGCTCTGTGTGTATGTGTGATGTATAAAATAAATGTATGTCTGTAAGGGTGATAGATTGGATATATGGGATTGGATGCGTTGAATACATTTGATTTGGGTACATTGGATCGATATACTTATATATAATAGAGTATCATGTAGTGTAAAATAGGATAAACATAAGATGAGATAAGATAAGGTAGGTATGTAGACATGTTAGATAGATTAGATTAGATTCTGTTGGTTTCGATCTGAATTTGGTTTGATTGATAGTTACATGCATGCAGGTGTTTGTGTGCGTGTGTTTAAGGATAAAAAGATGACAGCGAAAGGGTCGAAGAGCGGTATACCTCAGACGTGTATGTGTCTAAAGTCTAAAGTATCATTTGAGTATAGGTTTACGGCATCTCCCCTCTCAATGTGTATCGTTTCGCTCTATATGTTTATATAACTATTTGTACATGAGAATGTGTGTATATACAATCATATACAATCATAATACGGCTAATTATTTAAGCCAAACAAAAATAGAAGAAAAGTTATCACTATCACTATCCCACATAGATTTGTCGTTTCTAAATAGATAACGTGTATGTCCGAACGACTTGACCACTAGATCATCAGCATCCCACCCTGGCTCTGCCATGCGCCTGCCCGGGGCAACCCAGACACTACCTCTGCTGCGTTCGGGTGCAAGTCGCAAGCACCAAGGGCAAATCATGCGAAATCCCATCGAATGGGTATAACTGACCAACCTGATATGAACATGATGGGTTTGAACATGGGGAAATGGCAATCCCAATTTTCAGGCGAAGCCACATACAAAATACACTGCATCCGGTATGAGTTTGGTTGATTTTGGTTGCCTTCACTCTTTGCAACACTGTCGGGTCCTTGAGAATATGTGTATTTATGTATAATTACATTATATATATATATATAAAATAAATATAGACAGGATCTAATACATGTATCATCATGTATCTGTAGAGTCAGCCAATGTCCCTTGATATCGTGTTTTTCCATGAGGATGACACCAAAAATGTGCATCTCCTCGGCATTCCCTGGATTCGGAATCGCAGCTTCACAAAGATGCATGCCCGATGGCTATATCCTCATGATTTCACCAGATAATTCTGTATTGTATGTATATGTATACATTTAAAAAATATATCATTAATAATTATTATTAACAATAGTTATTGTTATTAGTCCTTATTTTTGGTTATTGTTATGCACTACATCGTATCTTAAACTAATATGATTATATTATTATATATTATTATATATTATATTATATTATATTATATCATATCATATTATATTATATTATATTATATATCATCTTACATGTCCTTTTCAACTGTGGCTTCAGTCGAGCCACCTTGGCCTTCAGCTTCAGCGCTCTGTCGGAAACATCGTGGCTGGCGGCCAGCTCTGCTTCCTGACACCAACGTTGGATGAACCACCGTTGGATGAACCCTCGTAGCCTCTGGTTATTTAACATGTTGCTATGGTGTAGATGGCCCATAGAAATAGATGATAAACGATCACTTTCAGATCTTACCGATTTACCTATTAAAGACGATGATTTTCCATAGGGATCCATAGAATAAATGATCAAATAGGGGCAATGTCCACTTATAATTGGGGAGAACTAACCTGCTTACGATTCGTCCAAGTAGATCATTTCAGAACCGAAACCGCTTTGGTTGTTCTCCATATGACTTTGTTTGTTTACATGGTTTCAGCAAGGAAGTGTTGCATCGTTTTTGGACGCAAATAAAGACGACAGAAAATTAAAATCCACATAAAACATCATAAAACCACTGGAATAGATGAAAAAAATGTTTCTATCTTTGCGAGGGATGACTGTGAGGCGACGTTTTGCCAGTGAAACGATTCAACAGCGATTCACCAACAAGGAAAGAAGAAGCACGAAATTGATCGAGTTGAAAGCAAGTGATGTAACACTCGCGAAAATCATCATCCATTAGGAGGCTTTGCAAGCAATACTGTGTTTTTGAACGTGAGGTGTGAAGTGCAACAAGCAGCGCTTTCACATCAATAACATATTACACCCACTTGCTTTGAAGATTTTTTAAGGCTTCAAATTTCAACGAACAAGAGCTCGAAAGACAAACGGTTAGCCACGGTTAAATTTTTTTGCAAACCCTTGGCGATCCAGACGCCCCGTAGGCCCGTAGGAAAGGACAATCACGATTTGTATCTCTTTAGCCTATCTCACAGGTGCATTGAAAACGATACTGCAAACAACAATAAAAGCTTCGGTTTCAAAAGCTGCAGCTGCGATGTGTTTTTCCATCAGGTGCTACATGATTGCTGCTAGGTGCAATCATGTGTATCGTTCGTGTATCTTTCGTCCAATTGGGTTCCTGGAGAATATGTCTTTAAGTGTCTTTAAGTCTAATCACCTTAGAAGTAGGAAAATCCAGTTTTTGAGGACTCTTATCATCTTGATTTGAGAAACATGCAGTGTTTGAAAAACATTGCCCTTTTCCAAGTGCTTCAAACCATCACCTCCCATGCCCGCCTTCAAAGCAGCTTCGAACTGAGCTTTCTCTTCTTCGCTAGCCTTTTGCAAGTTCTCTTGAGCCTGTCCAGGGATGGTGGATAAGGTCAGATTTCCCAACCTCTTGCAACTGCTGTCACCAGGTGCACCAAGAATGAAAAAGGGACAGATTAGGCGATCTTGGTCTTGATCTACACCAAACTCAACCAGCATCTTCTTTTGTCCTTTGGATGGAAAAACACTATGGGACACAGTGGGAAAAAAAAACTTGGAACACAGGCCATGGAAACCCACATCCCTCTCTTCCATTCAAAGTGTCAAAGTGACCTTTTCGTCCCTGAAGGATTTGAGGGTCGCAAGAAAACCCAACGGTCACTTGATACTTGGCTATAGGTCAAAAAACCATGGTGCCATAGGGCCCAAGTGGCTTCCAAATCGCTTCCAAAAGGAATTCCCTAAAGATCTCCCAATAGAAAAAAAAGATGCTGGTGTCCCATTGAAACTAAGAGGTGGTCGTAACTTAGCCATCTCAATTAGGATTTCTCCAAAAAATCTGGTCACCAGAAATGATCAAAACTGACCCTATGCACATTTTCTGGGACAAAGCCATACAGTATGATACGAGTCGCGTATTTAGTGAAATTGTATTCCCATTTTCCACATCAAGATATATAACTTATAACCGCAATTTTATACCTTAAAAATACTCAAACGTTAGGTTGTCAAACTCCCACTTTGATGACTTGGTTTTAATAGATATAAATATAAACAATGAATGACTTGGGTGGTTCAAAGTTCTAAACTACTACAGCATTTAGTGAACTATAAGACTTTCGTTGGCTACTTACTCTTCTTCGAGCCATGATTCAGCTACTCAAAATGCTGCTTTTCCACAGTAAACGATCAGCTATGTCAAATTACCAAACGGCAGATGGAATGTCAAATTTCAGGCTTGGCGAATGTCCTACTTTTTCACATCAGAAAAAAAAAACTATTCAGGAGATATGTTACCCTCTGGTAAACTAACATAGCTACTGAAAATTGCCATCTATACTGTAGTGGATTTACCCATTAAAAATGGTGATTTTCCATAGTTATGTCAGTTTACCAGAGGGTAAAGTTCACCCCCAAAAACCGGACATTTCTCAACCGAGACAGGCCGCCTTCCGAAGGGCTGCCTTGGGCGCCACGCGCTCTTGCAGGACCTGTAGGGCCAGGGGTTTATATTGGGGGGATCTGAGGTTTCACGATTTCAATGGCGACCCAGGAACCGATTGATTGGAGGTACCGATTCCATATATTTTTGCCCAATTGTTTAGGCCTAAATTTCAGGGAATATCCCCAGAAAATATGGCCAGAACTAGGTACTAACGTACCTCCATTTCAGGATCCTGGAATTCCCATTGATTATTGGACAATATGAAAACATGTGGTTTCAAAATCAGCAATCTGTGGCTTTACCATGAAAACTGCTAGTGTAACAATATGATGATCATATGACATAACCCTACTTATACTGAACCTCTGGTGATTTAACAGTTCGCGAACTGGAAAACCACCCGTTTTAAGAGGTAATCATAATGTTTATCATCTATTTCTGTGGGCCACCTACACCATAGCTATGTTCAACAAACAGAGGGTAACTATTGGATGATATGATATAATATGTCTACAATATATAAATGATATCTGAGTTGGTGACCCAATTTTGATTTAAAGATATTGGATCATATTATCCTAAAATGGCAATGTTAATAGAAAACACGATGATCAATCATCAAATTGTGGGGTATCCATTTTTCAGAACAACCCGTATATTGGTATCAGCAACAACAAATGGTGATGGTTCAACTATTGAACCCTGAAATTTAGGAGTGAATTGGGTATGTGAGACCAAGAACCATTTCGCAGCAACGGGATATTCAACCAAAAAACTGATGTTTGGGTTTGTCAAAAAATGGAGGATACCCAAGGAAGATCATTTGCATGGGAAAATGAACTGGGACAATGATTTTCGTCATTGTGGGACTTTGGGTGCCCTATTTTCCAACAAACCCAAATGTTATGTTCTGGTTGAACTAGCTGTGTTTGAATGAAAGTTGATAGAATTTGTGGGCACGAAATAATGTAAATTTATATTGTCATTATCATAATAAGATCATGTAGCAGTCATCTTTATGAAATTGAGGGTTTCATATCTTCATCTATGCGGGTATTTTGTGGGTATAGTATGCAAGCGATCATGTCTAGTCAAAAAAATCGTATACCCAGGGTGGCAGAACCAGCACTGTTTGCTGGGCATTCATGTTTTAAGCATCTTAGGCAGTATTTGATTGTTTCTACAGCAAGGGCTTTCCAGATGTTGGGGCGTCCCAACATGTTGGCGAGCTTAGCTAGGATAGTGCCAATGGTGTACTGGAATGACCAAACTGATCAAAGTATACAGTCAAATCTTTGGATAACCGAGATTCGAATGCTTCAGAACCACCAAGTTGTGGCCAGTTGAGGAAAATGATGATCATATTGCAGTCCCAGCAAAATTTTGGGATCACATGTTTGGGAATTCCGGAATTCCCTATCTCTTCCTTAGGAATCATATTCCTATGATCATGTTCCCTATATTTCCCTATATCATCTTTCTTATATATTCCCTATATCTTCCTATGATCAGTTGTGGCCATAGGAATTTTGGGGATCACATCTCGCAGTCCCAGAAAACCAAAGTTGGTTTCATCCCGTGACTCGGATAAAAACACATTCCCGGAACCACTGACAAATCACTGGGGGTGTCTTTGTAGATTGTCTACAGTTATATATATATTATATTATATTATATGTGATATGTACATATATATATATATGTAGTTATATATACATATCATATATATATATTAAACATAGTTTTAAGCTATCTGTAAAGTTGCATAGCTCATTTATGCTATGTATATATGTGCCCCATGGCCCAACACCCCAACACCATCAGCTCGGCCCGGACGTTGAGGAAGTCATCGAAGCTCAGCGCGTCGCCCCGGCGCGTCAGGGCGAACATCCTATGGCTCGCGCGTGGGATGAAGCAGTGGGGATTTTATATAAACCAACAAATCATAATAAATCTATATATTTGGTTGGTGGTTTTAACCATCTTGAAAAATATGAAAGTCAATGGGAAGGATTATCCCATACATGAAATGGAAAATAAAAAATGTTTGAAACCACCAACCAGCAATAAATCTATATACACAATTTATAGATATTTGAACTATATATATATGATATATGATCTATATGTGTGGATTATCTACATTTACAAACTTTTTTTGGAAACCATCAAAATTGGTACACTTACAAACCATATATCTGCAACGTTCAGATAAAACCATTAATTTTGCTACATTTACCCACCAATCTATCTCAATTATGGGCTATAATCCCATTCCCCTAATATGATGGTTTAATTGCTATGCTATGGTTAATATGTACCCATTGTTTACCCCAACAAACCATTGACCAATCGATCTTAATGGGGATCATCTTATTCACACCCCTAATGATCCCATGGTTAGCGGATGAAACCACATATTTGGTTTCACTTACTGTGTACCCTCCACCAAATTAACACGGACCCTGAACATCAGCACCTTTTTGTGTCGAAACTCATCGTCCAAGCCCCTACGACTCGCAGGGTCTTAGACTGTATGTATTTTGGGGGATGGGGAGGTTACTAACCAGAAGCATCATGGCTGTAACAGCATACTGATTGAAAGTATCAATACTGATTCATATATTGATTCAAGCATCCTTGTATTGATGTTTCTGTGTGACATATAATAAGTTAAGTATGTATGTACATGTACCACAGATATATGACGCGTTACTGTAGCGTATCCATATCACATGTTCTGTGATACATATGTTATACATTGCTGTGTAATGTATGTACAATTATGATCAATTATGTGTATATGTATATATATATACACCTGTATACGACATGAAACACGGAGAGGGTTTAATAGCTCTAATACCCAATAATATGAACTGTGATAAACCGTAACAACATCATATTGATTTATTTAAATCGCAATATGTCTAAGATTCCACAAAAACATTACATAGTGTAGTAACATGGTGTTTTGAAAAAAAATGAATATAAGATGGTACATTTTCCTGTTACAATATGTTATACAGCACCAGTAGTATCTTATGATATGTCACCACAGGTAACAATGTCATGATATGTCATAGTGACAGGTCTATGTAACTATAATATACGTATGTATATATATATTAATATATTATAGAGATATCATGCACATAGATGAAAAAAGATGCATAACATGCATTTCTACATCAATTGATACCCTCTAGTAAACTGGCAGTTTGCTATCGAAAATCACCATTTTGAATAGGTAAATCAACGAACTAAATGGCCATGTTCAATGGCTATGTTAATAACCAGAGGCTAAGTCTGCAAATTTTGTACACCCAGCTTCCAGCTCACCGCCTTTCATCCAACGCCGAGGCTCTTCTTGGCCGAGAATTGAACGTCCTCTAAGCCTGCCGTGATCGAAGAGGAAGTGAGGTCTGAGCCCCAAAAATGGAGATATAGAAATGGATAAAACAAGATGAAAAACATGTTAAGATTCAAAAATAAGTGCTTCGGGCTTTGGGGGTTTATCAAGATTGGGAATGATTGGGGTACATTTTGATAGGTTTCCTGTGTAAGAATGACCAAACTGGACATGATTCGGGGGTCCCAAACTGTAGGAGACCCGCATATTTGGAACTCAGAATCTGGACAGGTTTGCCTAAACTTAGGGCCTAGGGTACCCCATTCCATCCACTGGTTAATCATCATTATCCCCCAGCATTACGGCCATAAATTGGGGGTTAAATCCTCTATTTTCAGGCATACCCCTTTCAAGACGCCGTTGGTTGTATTCCCATTATATCCTTTGTGCTATGCCGATTGTATCCCAGATTACAAACACGTATATGAGTGGCGGACAATATTACTTTCTAATTACTCGCTATGGACATGGCCAAAGTGGCTGGTCCCCTATCGGTTGTGAAGGTTCACTCCTTCCATGCTATGTGTAAAAATAGGGTATCGGCAAGTGGGTGGTCCCCTATCGGTTGTGAAGGTTTTCACAACAATTTGAACATCCCAAGTCCACTCCCTACTACTTTAGTCTTCCCCTAATTTTGTCGATATTAAAGCCAGATTTTTTTGCAGAATCCAATTTCCAGAATCTGGTTGCTTATTTCCCATGAAATCCCCATGATAATCGTATAAAAATATCACCGTTTTAAGTTTGATGGTGAATTCCATTGAATTCCAGGACCCTACCAGTTTGCGGACTGGAAAATCACCTTTGCTCAAGAGGTAAATCATGCAAATATTCTATAAATGGCAAATTTCCCCTGGAAAATCCATCAAAATCACTTGTTTTTGATAGCTCAATCTATGTAAATCATCGAAGTCAGTGGGCCATGTTCATCCGTATTCATCCATTTTTCCATAGCAAACTGTACCCTAGGGATCCCTAAAATGTACAACACTTCGATGTAGTTTACCCTCTAAATTCGTCAATAGGGTAACCATGGGCATCCCCAAATCCCATGGTGTATCATAATTGTCCCTACATGTCCCTACTAAATGACTCTGGTTGCTGGTTTTAACCATCTTGAAAAATATGAAAGTCAATGGGAAGGATTATCCCATATATTATGGAAAATAAAAGGTATCGGATGGCATCGCTATACCCCAGTGGCTCCTCCTCCTGGCCCTGGCCTTGCCCTCGTCCTGCACCCTGGATCTCCACCCGCACGGGACCTGCCATGGTTTTTCACCCCGTGGAAGGGGGGGAATCCTACGCAAAAATCGCAGACAATGACTGTTCTAACTTTTTTGGGGTTACTATATCAACAATGATAAGAATAAGACTAAGAAAATGATCATCATGAAATTAGTAAGTATATGTAAGTATTCTATTAGAAAGTATTAAATGATATTCTCATAGGGCATGTTTAATGGTTTAAGCATAAGCCAGGTATACTGGACCTTCATCCGGGCCGCGCCTACAGAGTGCGCTCCGAAGCTACCCCAGACGTACAGCCTCGGCTGCTCAAAGCGGCGTTTCGGGTCAAAGTTGGAGGAATTTCTGTGGTTTACTCAGTTTGCTTCAAAAACAACGAAAAATGTCAATAGTTCATCCATAAATAATCATAAAGCATATAGTTTATAATTTATCATTATATAATATTATAGAATTCTAGGCCTTTTATAGGATTTTAGATAGGCCTAATTTTTTGGTCTATCCACTGTTTCGGATTGTATGAGGGCAGTTACAGTTGAGCCATTCTAACACAGCAGAAGTGGTTACTGCAGCGTCTCATGCTGATGTGAGATCCCAACCACTGGACCTACAAAGGCCTACCCTATGGAGTTCCGAGATTCTTCCAACGCAGCAACACTGTCTGCACGTACTCAATGCCATCAGTGCCATCTGCACTTTTTGAAATCTCAAAAGCTCTTTAGAAGACTCAGTTTCAGAGAAAGTATTACAGAAAAAAAACAAATTTTGCTGGCACATATGCGTAAAAAATTGAAAACATCGACATCCTGGATTTCCCACATCTCTGAGGCTCCCAGGCTGTCCCTGCGCATCGATGGCACCCCCAAAATCGGGGCCAAATGCGATTTTCTTCCACCCCTTGGGATTCTGCTCGAACCTCGGCGACCATGGCTACCATGGCTACCGGGGATGGGAAGCGGCGAAGCGGCAACCTGACGACCCCAAATCATCAGGTGCCCGGGCCACTCGATGCGTTGGGGCCACAGCACGTCGCTTTGGGACCCACCAGGGATAGCACTGTGACGACCCCAAACGAAGACCTTTGGTGCGAGGATGGGATGGTGACTGGGCACCATGAATTTCTAGGGTCAGTCGAATTGACGCTTGAAGCAATGCTTGGCATTTTTTGCTATTTCAGTCGTGTTGTGATGGTTATATCCTGGCCTTGGGCACCAGTCACCCTGCTAAGCAATTTATTTTAGCCAAAAATTGCAGTAAACTCATGGGTTTTCACAATGGACCATCGTGTTTGATAGGGGTTCCTGCAAAAGCACCCCCCTCAGTTCGTCCCAGACTACGTTACATGGAAAAATAGAAGCCGTGCCGTGCCCATATGTTCATAATTGTTCATATATTTTCCCACTTCAAGCTGGTAAAACCCATTCGTTTCCGGTAGATTTTCGCTGACTCCCGCGCCTGCTGTTTGGTCTCGGGCGTCTTGGCCTTCGCCGGCTCGACAACTGCGAGGCCCACGGCACCCGCAGCAGCGACGAGGACTCGGCAGGCGGAGTGCACCATTTTTTCATGGGCCATTACCACACTAATCATAGGTAAACCATGGTTTTTAGCTATTATCTCAAGTGATTCAAATAGGGAAGCCCAATATCAAACTGAATCATGGAATATATTGTAATATCTTGTAATATACCATCCCCAAGTCCTCACCATTTTTGATGGGTGGAATTCCAACCATCATCCAGTCATGGCAGTTAAGCCCAGGCAGCTCCGTGCTCCATGTCGCTCGGTAGCCAGCCTCCCAGGGAGAGCTTGGGTTGCAACACAAGTTCCAGTATCAATCTATCATATAATATCAATTAATATCATATAAGCTCATATTTACTCATATATTTACTCATATCATCTAATATCTAATCTGAATCCTAAGTCTATCCTACCCTTGCCTATCTTTATCACGATTCTTATCTGTCTTATCTACCTGATCTATCTTAATGATCTATCCACTATCGAATCGGATACCAGAATCGCGCACCTCCTCCAAGGCACCTCAAAAACGGCCAATTTCGGGAATGTTTGGGTGGCATCTCAAAAGAGGCGTATGAAAGAAACATTGAACTTCGATCAAGCTTCAGCACGGCGTAAATATATGTAAATATGCCGTTCCAGAAACCCGCTACATCAAAATTCATATCTCAAAACTACAAAAATCAAACATCTCAACATCTCAAAAGTCCAAAAACGTATCTCAAAATCCAAATCTTCATTTTCGCACCATCAGATCTTGGTCTTCGCACCATGCGCCAAGCCATAGCTGCACTGAACCTGAGGACGTCAGGTGAAACGCGCCATCCAAATGCAAACATTGGCTTCGAACCATCCAAAACCTGGCTTTGAACCATCCAAAACGTTGGTTTGAACAAAGTTTGAACCATCCAAAAATATCCAAAAATTGGGTGTCAACCATTGCAACTCGGGTCTTTACCATCATAAAATATCATAAAATGGGGCTTTAAGACTTTAAGCATCAAAATCCGTCAAAGATGCTCCAAAATGTGGAGTTGACCATCAAAAATGGGAAGCCAAACGAAGCACCAAAAGTTCGATTTCACAATCAAAAGAAACATGGATTGGTATGAAAGACTGCCGGCGATATCCTGTAATAATTCTTAATGGGCATTTTCCCACGCTGGCATCCCTGATTAATCATGCAAGACTCTGCAAGACCACAATTGACAAAGGGATCTCCAACCACTCTGCAGCATATACAACTGCTGAAAGTGTGATTGTTGTGGATAGCGTGCGACCAGATCATGAGTTTTCCACCGAATTTATCTAATACTAATCTGCTACCCAGTGCTCTACATAAGATCACTAGTTCCATCATGTTCCATCTATTTTCTCAAGGGTGACCTGGATAATTTCAACATCTTTATAAAGCCCCTTTTCCCATGGGGCACTTCAAACATGGGTATGGATCAATACCTATTTAATACCATTTTTAGGGGGATGAACATCCATTTACCAGCTATTTTGATGTTCACCAGGGGTACAAGGTTTTGACACACAGCCACATCTTCAAAACATATAACACAAAATGAGGCCTGTGTGGTGCATCTAAAATGAAACTGGCGACCTTCCCCAACCACTCCCCAGCCTCTCGCCAAGCAACACCAGGCAGTGCTCAAAAGGAGAGCATTGCGCGCATTGAAAAGTGGTGACTGCTGATGGGACAGTGGAGCCCTTTAAATAGGGCTTGTTTGGGGCTGTTTCTCCTGATGTCTTCAGTGGCTTCTTTCCAAAGTCATGGCAGAGTATGGGCAGAGTTTCAGCTAGAGGGTTCAAAACTTGCAAGCAAGAAGCTGCTGGAAAATAAGTTTAAATATGTTTAAATGTTAGATATTGGAGCCAGGTTTTTTTGACGAGTTCGCAGTGTACTGAGAACTTTGTTTCATTCAATAGTGATTCATCTGCGCCATGACATGACTGTCCGAATGGGATTGCACTGTCAAAGTTTCTGGATTATATGCTGCCTAAGTACTGATTGGGTCCTACGCAGAGTACATTGCAAACATGAAGCTTTGTCCCGACATTTGGGGGTTAGATCGTCCATGGACTTGATCTTTTATGCGAAAAGCTGAGGGCCGGAACGGCGGAACCCCTGGGCTGTTGATCATGGTCCGGGGTGAATGGTAACATTCCGGCATCCTGTGACCGATACGCATGCTTGGAGTGATAGGAACCAAAAGAAGTTTGAGCACGGCAGCCAAAAATGTTTTCGTCCGAAAACCGGTAAAACATCCCAAAACTTGTGCCAACGTGGCAATTAAGAAAAAACGAGGAAAAACAATGAAACGCGAAAAGACATTAAACCAAAAAAAAACGCACCTATATAACAAAACATGAACAAAAACATGAACAACCATTTTAGCCCACCGATGCCCACCGACCTGCCCGCCATCGCTGCAGTGCTGTCTCCACTGGCAACTCTGTCACCGCTGGACCTGGGCATCTTTGGATCGTCCACTTTGGATGAGTGATTCCATTTAGGATTCTTAGGAAACACTGTACTAAGAATCCATTTAGAAGCCAAACAGTACTAAGAATCCACTTTGGATCTTTTTCCCAAACTGAAAAATGTCAAAATTTTAGATTCTTAGTATTGTTCTTTGGGATCATGTGTCCACTTTGGATTTGATGGCGGAAACAGCCACGGCCATGTGTTGGATGAAAACATGGAAACACGGTTTCAACCATCAGCTCACCAGCTCGTCACGTGTCCGCCTCGCAAAGCATCCAAGCTTCCCGAGAGCTTGGGGACTGGCCTGCAACAGGCAACCACCCATTGATTGCCCTCTGATAATTTAACATAGCTATGGAAAATCACCATTTTTAATGGGTAAATCAAATCAACTATAAATGGCAATGTTCAATAGTTATGTTAGTTTACCAGAGGGTAACCAACTCCCAAAGTAGACTGGGTTTAGCCGGTTTGGTGCCAAGATTTACTCATTACTCATTCTCTTCTTCTTCCACAAAAAAACAAAATCTCTGAAGAAAAATTGGGTTTCACCAAGTTGGACTCTATTGGATTACAGATAGAGTAGCAATGAGTCGTGACATTCAAAAACGTTGACCCTCGGGTGGTCGAACATGGCTAGGGAGTCCACTGAAAATATCCACTATCATTGGGCATTCTCCATGGGACCATCGAACGAAATGATGGAGTTTCCAGCCATGTTGGAGGAGCAGCTGGCTCTGGGGTGTTTTTAGCTATGACTCACCACCAGCTCCAGGCTCCGTCGCCCCTTAGATTCCACCCCCATGTGGGTATCCTCCATTTTCAGACAGACCCATCATGTTCATATCAGTTTGCTTAGTTATATCATCCTATATCCCATTAGATCCCCGCTCCAACCGCGCCTCCAAAGCGCGCGCTGAGTCATGTCGGCTGCTGCCTTAGGAATTACTGAGTGCAAGGGGGCAAAAAAAAAGATGATGTGATGAAACAAACATCCTCTGGTAACTCAACATCAAAAATGGGGGTATAATATGGTATAATGGGGATGTGATAGGTACATAGTGGGGATAGAACCAACAATATATGCTTTGGGTTTGTCTGAAAAAAGAGGATTTCAACGCCCCCATCTGTAGCCGTTCAATAATAGGGGATAATGATGATTGATCAATGGATTCATGATAGCCTACTTTCAGACAACCCCATATGATGAGAGAATTACCAACTTATGATCTAACATGGCTAGCTAAAAAAAAACAAAAACAATGCCTAATGGGAAAATATATATAGGATAATCATTGAAACTAAGTGTGTGATTTTCCAGCATGCCAGGGTTAACTTGCTGGAGGGTAACAAAAATAATGAATTTCCATGAATTTCCATGAATTTCCATGTAACTCATTGGAAGCCCTCAACCAGCAGATCCAAATTCTGGCCACCACTGCACTGAGATTATCACGTCTCTTCCGACATGGCGCAGAGACGATGGCTGGACAACTCCACAAATATGTGAGTCGCTTGGCTGCCAATGGGGATTCACATCAACATGTATATAATATGTACAAATATATGTATATATAGCCTCGTGCAGGCTTCTGGAACTACCTAAACCTGAATTAGGTTGGTAAAACTTGTCCATTCCGTGACGAAACATCCCACCCCCCCCCCCCTGTGCGTAGCATCAACTGCTGCCGCAAGTTCACATGAACGTTAACATCCCACACCCATCCCCCCCCCCCCCCCGCGTGTGCGTAGCATCAACTGCTGCCGCAAGTTCACATGAACGTTAACATCCCACCCCACCCCTTTACCCCAAGGTTTAGGTAGTTCCAGAAGCCTGGACGAGCCTATATATACACATATATAGACATTATTGAGATGTACATGGTTCAAAAGATTGCTAATTTCACAAAGCCCAATCCCCAATTTCACATGCATGAAAGCTATAAAATCACACAACCACTATGGAAAAACCGTCATGAAAACCACTTTTTGTGGATGCATTTGGATGAACCTATCGTCCCAAGGTTGGTTTCTTGCCCTCGAAAAAACGATGACCCTGGTGACCCTCCAAGAAAATGATCTAAGCTAGTAAGCCCCCACCAAAACTTCCAATGAAGTATGATTTCTACCATCTGCTGGTCAAATTCTTGGATGGTTTATCATTTCTATAATTATTTCAGTATTAGTATTCATCCAACAATCTTAGTAGTATTAATTTTCACATTATTCAGAATAACAGTGAATAACAATAATCATTGTTCATTGTTATTCTTGTTGCTATCATTATTATTGGCTTTCGCACGTCACCCCTTGTAGATTCTCCATTGCCGGGTTGGGTTGGCAACAGTTTTCGTCATCTTTCAGTCTCTGAGCACGACTGATGTGCGACCGTGTGCGAAGTTGTTCATATGGGGGGTTCCATAAATGGAGGATCCCCAAAATGGTTGGTTTGTAATGGAAAATCCTATTTAAATGGATGATTTCGGGGTACCCCCCCATTTTTGGAAACCTCCGTATGATGAAGTCAAGGTGAAGATCAAGTAATCTGATGTGCCAAAAATGCCGCAAACCAAACCCCAGCGACCCAATCTTTAAGACGCGTAAAAGAATCAAACCATGCCATGCTTCGCCACATTACTGCGTGGTGAATGAGGCACCCATCCTGAAATAGTGCAACATCCAATAGAGCCCCCATTCTCTCAGGTGGAGATAGACTCGTCAACGCTTGCAAACCAACCAGTAGCTGGTTGGTAGCTTGACAGCCTGAAACAAATTAAATTTGAGGTTGCTATCCATCATCCAAACTCCAAGTTGATAGCGTTAGTTCTCGTACAAAACCGTGTATATATATTGCAAAGCCCTTTCACTGCAGCATTCCACAAATACAGTGACGGAAGAAATCCCGCAGCAGTTGATAGGTGGTAAGAATCCCACTATTTATAGGGTTTCAACCATCCTTTTGGTGGCGCAAGGTTTCATCCACAAATAGGTGTTCCCTGGCCAGAAGGCCACTATAAAATTATAAAATACTACCATGTTGCAAAATTGGTAAAGCACGAGTAATTTAAACCATCCCCAAAGGAACATTTTTATGGGTGTAAAAACCATCAATCCATATGACCACGTCACTGCTCTTCTGTCCACCCCCGTATCTCGAAAGCCGCAAGTGGAAAAAGGAAGAAAATGATGTTTAAGGTTTAAGGCCTGATTATCATGAAGCGATCATGGGAACAACATGGAAAAACTCAGAACAACTAAGGGAAAAAAAACTCAAAAGTAAATGTTCCCAGTAGATTCCCCAGTAGAACAACTGTTTCCTCTAGATTCTCCAGTAGATTTTCCCATCAAAAGCCAGTTCAGAGAGCTCCCGAAAAGGGCTGCGAAGGATGTGCTCCTCCTTACTCCACTTGCCCGTCTCGTTACTAAAGGAAGCGGTATGAGCCTGGCGCTGTCAGCGGAACATAGCCGATTTCTAGATGATGAACATGATGATTTATATGCCAATTGAACATGGAGATTTTCCATAGCTATGTTTATCAACTAGAGGGTGTATTATATATATACATATATATATATGTACACACTAGGCACATGGTGTGTGTATATATATATGTAATTATGTGATTATATGAATATGATGATAAATACACAGTACCTAGATTACCTCACGTTCCATGTCACCGTTATGTTTCGCCACACTCCCTGCAGCACGTCGGCTTCGGCGGCGCCTTTCCTCCCGCGGTCTTCAAGATATCGCTAGAGTCATCGAAACTGCCAAAGGTCGCCGCGGTGACGACGTGTCGTTTGTGACAGATTCATGAAACCACAAAGAAGAAACTGATGCATATCTAAATATGTACTTATGTTCAATGCATATATTATACCTATACGTATATATGAGCAGGGATCCCCACACCCCCCCCTCCCCCAGCCAGATGGTTCCCCCCCCCCTGTGGCAGGGGAGGGGGGGTTTTCTCAGCAGCCAAGCCGATATACGCAAAATATATAGCTCAGTGCAAGGAGTGTGCCAGCAATGTCCAAGGTACTGCGTGAGCAGCACTGGTGAGTATACATAGAAATCATGGTGTATGTAGTCTTTATAGTGCATATAGTGCATATAGTGCATATGTATCGATAATTAGAATGGATATACTATATGTAATATAGAGTGTATGTGTGGTGTATATATATATATAAACATATATATAATATGTAAGATATTAATAGAATATATGCAATATATATATATAATAGATATATATATATATATTTGACATATATATATATATATTGAACATATATATATATCGAATATGTGGATTTTGATAGAATATAGATAGTATATGCCACATGTACTGTATCCACAGTAGATGTAATATATACAATATAGGTAAATATGTTCGTTGAATAAATTTTACATAGTATATGTGGTATATTGAATATCGACGGCAATACACGCTGTATATCTAGAGTTTATGTATATATATATATATATATGTATATATATGCATATATATATACATGTGTATATATATATGCATATATATGTACATATATATATATATACGTGTACAGTATGTACAATGTAAACGAAATATGTGATAGATACAAGATCAAGATATCAATATGTAGTATCTAGAATGTGCATATATATATATATATTGTTTTTCTACTGTACATATGTCTAGGTTTGCATAGGTAAGCTTTGCGTAATCCATAGGTAGCAAATATGTTGTAAACCATGTGCGAGGCACGCTATAGGCGGTTCGAAAAAAAGGTTATGATAGAAACATACAGGTAGACAAGGTCCGTTGACGAGGTCGTGGCTCTCAAGTGCTGCAAATAACGTAGAGATGCGAGGGTGGAGGGGTGGAAAGGGGAGTATATATGTGTATATGTGTATGTATATGTGCAAATAACATGCAAATACTAGGTTTTGGGGGGGTGGGGGGGTGTGATTTAGTTTGTTTTACGTGTCTCCACAATGCATTCATGCATGTTGACATGTACACTTAATTCACATCTTTCATGCGCGCTCCGCATGGCTCAAGACTAGCAGACCTCGCGTGTACAAAATAGTGCAGCTGACCGCAGGTGTCCATAGGTTTCCAGGGCTCCCCTAATAGAGGGATAGCTACCTCAAAGTGGTAGCGGAGCCTGTGCCTTCGCCAAGTCTAGATCCGTGTGCCGAACTGCCGTTCTCTGCATACATTCCGTATATCGGACTTGCGGAGGCAACCTGTAGGTCAAGTTAGAGTAGCTGCCATGGTCTTAATCCACAACATGGATTCAGATGAAGAACAACTCCAGATTGTCTCTTATGAAGAGCCTGAAGCATATGCCGCCACCAGTCATTCCGAAAACCGGATGGGCATCAAAATGACACCAAAGGTTCCACCCCAATTTGATGGCCAATCAAGCTGGTTTGAATATGAAGATTTAATTGATGACTGGTTAGGGATCACAACATTGGATGCAGATAAACACGGACCATCATTAAAGAATGCCCTCATTGGTTCCGCTTCTTTTTATAAGTCGATGCTCGATAATGCCCTACTCCGAGATCCGGATCGTGGCCTCGCTCATTTCAAGGACACATTGAGACCATACTTCGTGAAGGGAGTAAATCATGTGTTCCTTTGGCGATTCCTCCAGATGTTTCGCACATATCGAGGCCAGAGTGAATTCGTGCACTGGATAGGGCGATTTGAGATCGCGCAGAAGCGTTTGTTGGCTTCTTGGTCCGATCTGCTGGACATATCCGATCTCCCCGAGGCAGGCACTCAGGCATTTACGGCAGCACTCACAGATGAGCAAAGACTGCACTATAACCAGATAGTAACAGATGAAGATAAGCTAGCTTATCAACAAGAACTGAGAGAACAGACCATAACCAATAGAAGGACCAGACATGCACAGCAGTTT